GGGAGCAACGCACAATGCAATTCGAAGTAGACTCAGAATAATTCAAATATTTGGGTAATTAAAACAGATTTTGAAAATCTGGTGTGCCCACTGTGCTTTCATTACATTTAAACTGCCTTATTCAAACTGCTTCGTTGAATGAATTTGGTTCATTTGAAAAACATCTGCTGTCTTTGTCACTTCTAGCAAAACATGTGTGTTCTTAAATTACTAAAGGTTGCAAATATTGTTGGTTGCCTTTCTACAAAGTGCACAAACTCGCCAAATCATGTGCACCAAGAACTTCATGTTGGCTGAGCTAAAAAGGGGACAAAAACACGAGACGTTTTGGCCTTAGTCGATTGTGTGCCAAATGCATGTGCTTAAGTCAGTTTGATCGTAGTGCACTAGTGTCATGTGGAAAAGTGCAGTAGAATTGGGATGGGCCTATATTGGTTGTCACAGGACACAGCATTGTTTGTCGCTTAATTACAGATGTGTGTGCCGAGGTGGAGCAGTGGCTAAGGAGCTCAACTCCAGACCTGAAGGTCGCGGGTTCAATCCCGGCCGCAGCGAATGCATTTTTATGTCGGTGAAATGGTAGAAGCCAATGCGCTGTGCGATGTTCGGCTACGTTAAATAACACCAGATGGTCGAAATTTCTGGAGCCCTCCACAACGGCATCTCTCATAATCATGTCATGGTTTTGAAAGATAAAGCCCCAGATATTATGATTATTAATTTCAAATGTGCCAACACGTATGATGAGTACCAGTGTGAATGCTGACATCCAAAAACTTCACTGATAATCATGCAGAGCTGTCTATGCTGTTTCTGTGGTAATAATAACTAATAAATATTAGTATACAAGGTGTTACATTGCCCCAAGTCATCTTTATGACAACTTTTAATAATACAAACCTCTCAAAATTCAAACAAAGTTGTGGACCCCTTCAAGTTCGCATAATCAAGAGCCCACTGCATACTGCTTAACACTTCTGGCAGCAAGTTTGTCATGCCTGCAATTTCAGTTCTTTTTGTAGTTGCTTCTAAGTGTTTTAGTATGCCTTTGCTCAGTGTTTTTACGGACACAAGCAATAATGTTTTTTTTTCTAAAGAAGGAGAGTGGATTTTGTCAATACATCATACTACCTAAAGACTACCACACACGTAGAACATGTTTTGCCTATAATAATGAAGCTACTATTGATGAATATATTCCTGAAAAAGTGTATTGCATTCGAACAATTGTCTTTCAGTTTATTGGCTACTCCTTGATAATTTGGACTCTTGCAGTGAGGTGTCTGCCATTTCAGCTGCTATGTTGACTGTTTATAAATTAGAAGACCATTAGAATATCTAGGGAGTTTCTAGTTTGTAGTGGTGCACCATGGCAATATAAACATCTGCTCTCCTCTGTAGGCCAGTGTATCATCATTCCGGTAAGAAAGCATGCGGGTTTACTCATTGCTATAGTGCTGAAGCACTCTCACTCCTTTTCAATTCAAGATCATTGCTGTGGCTTCGACTTGCATTGTAGAGCTCATATTAAACGTGAAAGCAACCTCTTTTTGCAGCATGCACTGTGGTAAAACCACATTGGTATTTTTCCTCTAACAAAGAAATTGTGCTAGATTTCTGGGGGGGGGGGAGGAGGGTATGCACAGCGTGAGGCATTTGACCGTGCAGTATTGTAATGGTGACTGTATTGCTTGCTCTACAGTAAGCGCGGCAGTAAGGTGTAGAGCTGCCACATCTAATAGTTTGTTTTGAAGTTATTACTCGCACGTGTGTCTGTTGCTTGTTTTCTGGCAGGTAATTTCACAGAGCTATTGTTTTTGTCCATGCACTTCTGCATGGACTTCTTTTGATTCTTCTTTACTTTTTGCCACTCTCTACATTTTAGTCTACGGAAAATACAAAGAATGATAGGCTGAGCTATTGATGCGGTTGCTATTAGTTGTGATTTATGCAGCGACGTTCATTTTTATTGCAAAAACTAAAAGAGTTTGTTTATTGCTTTCTTGTATTAATCTCAAGTTTTGAAAGAAGATGACTCTTTATACCTTCATTGTTAAAAACTCACTTCATGTCCTTGTTTCTCTAGTAAAGTGGGATACAAAAGGAAATTACATTTTATGCATGCTTTACCATCTCAGACCGAAGCATCTGCAGATGCATTAACTGGTATCATTACTTGTTGGCCACTGAATCGTTTAGGAAAACGGTCATGTAAGTGTTTTATTGATTGATGCAGATGGAAAGATGACATAATACGGTGAAACTTCAGCAAAGTAAAAGGAAAACGATCACTCTTTGAAGTTGTTGGGGAAAAAAATCGGTCGCTATGGGTTTACCACAGGGACTAACATTGCTTTAGCTTTAAAAAACAAAAGTAAAAGTTGTGAAAGTAAGCTGGAATAAATTTCATCCCAAATTGGGAAATTCAGAAGGTTCTTTGTATCTAAGCAAGGCCAGATTCGTTTCTTAACAATGGAAACCATCACTGTCTTTTTGTAGTTGCTCTGGAAAAAGATGCCGTCAAATTGGTGGGCGTTTAAGACACAAACTTAATATACAGGAATATATATTTACGTACAAATAGGAGCAAGACAATGACCCATAGCAGGGCTTAAAGCAGTGGTACTGAACCTTAGTCAGCAATATATTGTAATCGGCAAAAGATCTCGCGACATCCTGGAACAGCCCTTTCATCCCCTTTGATGCTTGATGACCTCATTGCCTGCAGTCAACGACACCAGCTGCAACTGGGCCAGCAGTTTTATGGAAGAGGCAGGGAAGTGAGACCAGGCCCACAGTGGGCAGATGGATCTACAGAGCTAGACAAAAAAGCCCAATTTGCGAAACACCACAGGAGCTGCATAATAGGGGCAGGCAGTCCTCTCTGTCACAAGACCATTAGCACCCAAATGTTGCCCCGGCTCATTCCATGATCTATTGTGCAGTGGAGTCAGTGTGCCAGCATTGGTGTGCGTGCTGAGATGCTTGGATGTTTCGTGGCACTGAAGCCCAACATGTCAGCTTTGCGCCTTGGGGCATGCTGCTTTTGGGATACAAGAGCTGTCTTTGTCGCACCATGTCTTCGTGGTGCAATTAGATGTGCATCGAGTGGAACTACTCAGGTTCAGTGCTTCCACATCTGCCTCTGCTGTCACTCGATGCGGTCGTTTCTTGTGTGCGCAGCCTAAGCTGCTGCCGACCCACCATGTCTTGGTGGTGCAAGAAGATGCGAATCAAGTGGTACTATCCAGGGGCTTTTGCATCTGCTTCCACTGCCACTCGATGGAGCCGTTTTTCATGCCCGAGGCCTGAGCCGTAGCCGACACACTATATCTTCGTGCGTTAGAACATGCGCATCAAGAGGAATTGCAGCTTGGGCGTCGGTCTGTCACCAAGCAACACTGTCCGTGGCGAGGGTCCGTTACAGCTGGGCCTCTTAGAATGCTGGGATCTTTGCACAAGCTCTCAGCCCTAGATACGGCTTAAGAAGAGCTCTTCAAAAGGAGTTTGTTATTTCGCATCGGTGACTGCAAAAGCAAGGATGCTCCGCCTGGCGGCACTAACAAGAGCACTTTCCTGCACATGTTTCATTATGGCAAGGACAAGAAGAAAGGCAGCCATCAGGAACTTGGCATGAAACACATATTGCACTGCTTGATGGCCGAGGCAGTGCACAAGGAGGCACTGGTACAGTTGTCCTCCATGCCCCTGGATGTTAGCAAATTACCTGAACCTAAATGTTGTCAAGAGGTGCACATGTTGCCATGCTCTCTGAAGGCTTTCCTTTGTGCCGTCACCAATGGGATCAGGGGCACGTACTATGAGCACAAGGCAGAGGTAAATTGTGAGCTTAATAGGCACCAAGCCTCCTAAGAACCATCGGTTGTGCAGCAGCAAGGTCTTCTCTGATGCGATGCTTCCGTGCTTTCCAATTCCTGGTCAGGACCTCTGTGTGGCAGTGATTTCAAGCAAGAGGACAAAAAGCAGTCATTGAAAGAAAGTGGTTGCACGGAATGTGCCCTATTGCAGATGTGAAAACACCACAACAGTCATTTTATCATCAAAGCTGCTGTTGTGTCCGGCACGTCAGAGGCTGTCTTGATCGATTGTGGCTCACCGTTGGTTAGAAGCATTCTAGTGGACTTTGGTGTGTTAAGCAGCGCTGAGAGCAGCAACAAAGGCAAGTTTCTTGTTGCCCATTCAGATACTAAACGCGACATAGTACCAAACACAGGTAGCAAACCATGTGAACACAAAATCTCTCTTTCTGAACAAGTCGGTGAAGCTGCATCGAACGTTATCTTTAGTGACAGTCGAAGAGCAGTACCTGGACGACTGCTACCAGCTCGAACAGGTACCCTACATTTAGAATAATTGAAATGATGCACAACCACTCACGGATGTTGAAGACAGATCTCAAAGATTGTATTGGCAGTCATGATGTCACATCCAGAATGTGTGCACTTGAGTCGAACGTGGACACAAGCAAACGGGTAACTAATGAAGACGCAGGATGACAGACTTCGAATAGAGCTGCTTAACACGGCAATGATTCAGCATCGACCAGTTCAAACTGGGTGTCCCACAGAAGACGAATTTGAATTCCGTCGCCTCTGAACCTCCTAGGCAGTTGCAGTGAATGAGTCGCGAGAGTGCCTCTCTCATTTTGGACATAGCCATCTAGTTCCACGCCAATGAGAAAGCCAGCTTCATCTTTTTCAAGCCAGGCTGCATTAGCCAGTCCTGCGTGTCAATTGCTCCAGGAGGTTTAGCCGAAAATTGGGAACTTTGAAAGGTTCTTTGTAGTGAAGCTAGACCAGACTTGTTGTTTCGCGGTGGAAATTGCTACCATTTCGGTATATCAATTCGGAAAGGAGGTGGTTTCACTGAAATTTTCTGTTATTGACTGGATGCAGATGTGCATGAACTTGGCTTTTGGGCATGACTTATCTATTCTAATGAGCGAGAAAGTATGAAATAACGGCAAATTAATGTTTCAGGTCTTGCAAGCTGTCCAAACAATCTTGGATCTTTTTCGGAAGGAGGCCGGGATTAAAAATCCACATCCCCTAGATAGTCTCTACGAAACACTGGAATGTGAATTGACGGAACTGGACCGCACCAATGATGATTATAAGGTATTTTGTGGTGAAGAACTCGGCACTGCATGAAAATCAGCTGTTTGACTTGCAGGTAATATTGCTATGAACTTAAAGGGATTTGTTTTTGTCAGTACAACCATGGCAGCTGGATAAAAAACAAGGTGTGGCCTGTTGCATGCCGCCGAAGCGGTGGGACGGGCCTAGTTCACCTCGCGCCCGCTCTAGCGCCACCAATCCTCTCAGGAGGAACGCTTTCACATGCATTTCTACGCGAAACAGTTCGCCGTATTTAGCACGTTTTGTAGCTCCACATCACAGGTTCGATTCTGAATAGTTATTAGGAGTACCTATTACACCACATATGTGAACAGTTTGCCCTAGGAGGGTCAATCATTCGCAGAGCATGGGCTTCAATACTCTCCATGAATGCTGCCCGCTTGACTCACCTGAAATGAAAAGGGTCACCAATTCTGTTCGATGGTGGCAATCGCCGGGCAGATTCCAAAAGCTGACGTATCGGCCCACCGAAGCGCGTCGCGAAAGCACACATAATTTAAGTGTAGCTTCTTTTAGTGCATTAACAATGCAGATTGCGACAGGGTTGCCACTGACTTTTCACTTAAATTTGCCAAATGACCAGCGAATAGTCTTCATTTTTCTTCAAATTTAGCCAAAAAAAAAAATTGCCAGATCCCACGTACAGTGGGAATTGATGATATGCGAAGTACGAATGAGGGAGGTTGATATGTCACTGTAAAATCAACACAATGTTAGGAGGTGGAGGTAAATGATGTTGTACATGACTTACGTGTCATGATTATCATGTTTGGATGTGTCATTTACTTTTGTCATCTATTCACGTCACGTGATACCCACTTTAGTATATGTGGAGCTAACGAAACGGTCCATGAGCGTGGTATGTTGTCATGTTCCTACATGACACGCATGTCAGGATTATCATGTTTGCACCGGTCATATATGTCATCATCCATTGACATCACGTAACACCAAATTTGGTATATATGGAGCTAGCAAAACATTCGCGAGCGCATCATGAAGGGCCCAATATACTCCAATATAGTATTGATGCATGCACACGCTAGGCACAGCGACACTACGTTAGCAAAATGCGAGCACTCTATAGTCTAACGCCAGACGCGATGGTGACGCGTCTATACGCTATACTATATACGCCAGACGCGACGTATATGTGACGCTAGCGAAACGGCAGCGAGCGCATCATGAGCGTGGAATGTAGTCATGTTGTTACATGACACGCATGTCAGGAGTTTTATGATAGCGTCTGTCGCTTGTGCTCGCCTTGCAATCATGTCATACCATTCCAGTTTTGCAACATGCGATGTAAACGAAACCGCCGCAAGAGCTGCTGGGCCATAATGTAAATCATGACATTCATGACAGCATGTCATCATTTTTGTGTTATGACTAGTGAAATATGTTCTTCATACAGTCAGGTTATGCCATACCAAGTTTGGTATCGATATCATTATGGAAACGGCCAGGAGAGCTAAAAGTCATAGGTGGACGGACAGACAGACAGACACGCTCAAAGTCGCCGAAGTTCGCTAAGAAATGCTTCATGTTTAAAAGTCGCCACTCAACATATGTGTGGCGGGTGTGTAAATTGCTAATTATGTATAGCCCTCTGGAGTATAGTACCATCCATAAACCCTAAAATATACTGACGTTTTACAATATCAGTCGAATCACCCAATTCACCATGGTAGGGTTCACTGTGCTAGAATAGGCTTGAAGTCCCATCACCTGATTCACCATGGGAGCAGTGAGAAAGGGTATGCAGGCACTAGCAGCGTCCCTGCATGCTAGCGTTTAATAACAAAAATTTGTGATGGTTTCAGTTGTCGAATACAAGGTGAAACAGTCGCTGCAAGAGAGGGATGGCGTGCGTACCTTTCCGGCAGATTTTAGGGAATCTCATTGCAGTGGACTAATGTTTAATAATTGAATAAATTAATTATAAAACAACATAAATTTGAAAGGACTGTGTAATCATAGTAATGCCCACACCCCGCTTTCGGTGCAGTCATGCTTATGCTACACATTTGCCTCAATGCAATTTCTGAAAGCTGCCTCAACAAATCGACTTGTTGGTCGGCCCGAAAAGTATGTTGACAAATTTACGTTCCACATACCAAATCTGAAAGTACTACTGTAGTGAATACGTCAACAAGCTATTGAGTACAGTGGGAGCTGTGGTCAAAACACATGGCTTAGCTGTCGCCTAGCCTCTCGAGATGCGAAACATTAAAACTCTTAAAAGCTATATAACTTATACCACCGCTTTGCGGCACGTTAAGAGGTCCGGGACCTAAATTGTAATGGGAGGTTATTGGTGGACGCACCAGTACGTCAGTGCATCAAGGATATAGGTGAATGACAGTCGTACTGAATTGCGAGTAAAGTGCGCCTTCTACTGGAGGTTCTACAAATATGAAAAAAAAAATTGAAAAGATGTTGCCCATACGTTTTGAAAGTACTGAGTATATAATGGATAACTCAGTCGACACCTAAGCTGAAAATCTCCAAAAATTCGCCATGTCGCCATTCATAATTTTAGGTTGTCACGGGCCTCTCGAATTCTGCCAATTTAGTGAAAAGTAGCCACCAGTGGCAACCCTGGGTTGCCATCAAAAGACTGAGTTAAAAAGCAAGAGTTTACGACACAAACAAAATATGTATTAGCAAAGGCACCACACAAACTTGCACACACAACACCTATCAATTGCAGCTCATAAAATCACTTAGAAGGTATTTAAAAGAACAGGAACAAACTTGCTGTGCTACAAATGCAATCTCGCTGTGCTACAAATGCAATCTCGCTCGTCATAAACTGTGCAAGAACACTTAGCAGCCTCAAATATTCACCACAAGTGTGTACTCCACAGTTCTTCGAACGTGTCTCGAAGATTTCTCATCAAGAAAACACTGGAACGAACTCCAGCGCTGGTCGTTGTCCCGGCAAGACTCAACGAAATACTCCAGCAGCGTCATAACTTGATCCTTCAACATCGACTGACTGCACTACATGACTCGCTCACACTGCCCAAACATCACAACTTCTTGGCTGATCTTCAACACCCGTCCTACTCTCTGACACCTCCAGTTTGTATCCTTCCCAGCTTCCCGAACATACCAAGTAATTGTACTGCACATAGCACGTACCAGCGTGGCACCCAGGAGAAAAGGTTTTGTCTCGCCGGTTCTTCTGTGAAAGTGGTCACTTCTAAAAGAGGCTCCGCTTCGATGTCTCGATTTTTCCTAATCTGTGCTGGTTGGCTGTCGCATGTGTAGAAGGTAAGGGCATGCCTTGGGCGCCTTTTGATGCATGTTTTCTTGTTTAATTGTGCGCGCTCGTGGAGGGAACGTTTGGCAAGATGATTTGATGCTGTCGTCTGGAGGCGGCAATACGTGTCTGCTTCAGTGCTCGTTTGTGACAAAAATAAGTGCCCTGTTATGAATAATACACATCCCGATATGCTTCTTGAAACTGTAAATCGCAGGGGAATACGTTGTGCTTCAATGTAGCATCTTTTTTTTCTTTAGAGCTGCTCAGCGGCACACAACAGCTTCGCGGCATCACACCACTGAAAAACCGTCTGCCACACATGCGCGCATCAAGGAATCATACTCGATCATAGAAAACATGAGGCAAGCTACCCCCCACACACGATCGCACACAAAAAAAGCACGAGAAAGCACACGGACATGCACAAATTCTCATGCAACCACATTGAAACACGAAGTGCCATCTGCTTTGACGGGTCAGTGCCCTCCTCAAAAAAGCAGCCGAAACTGTAAACTCTGCCCAGTCGCACTCACCCATTGATGGTGACGTGACGCAACTGGCCGCTCCTTGTTTTTTTATTCAGCAGCCGTTGTACAACATTCGTGACAATCAACGGACAATCAAGCCAAGTAAATTATAGGCGATGCTATTTGTACTGTAGACTTGAAAAAAGAACGACAGAAACTAATACGCAAGAAGCCAATCAATGAGCTAGGACTGAGAGGGATAGTACAGGAATTCAGAGTTTCGCTTCAGAACAGGTACTCAGCTCTTATCGAGAAAAACAGCCTTAGTGTTGATGCAGTTATTGATTATTGGACTAGTATCATTATGGAGTGTGCAGTGAAAGTTGGAGACAGGGTAGATAAACAGGACACTGGCAAGCTGTTCCAGGAAATGAAGAACCTAATTCGAAGTTACTTAATAAGCTTTCGAAGTTACTTAATAAGCGTGAGGTATCCGATGTGTGAAGGTATAACATGAAAAGAATTGAACACGCTCGGAAGAACGGAGGAAGCGTCAAAGCAGTGAAGAGAAAACTTGGGATAGGCAAAAACCAGATGTATGCACTAAGGGACAAGGAAGGCAAAGTAACTGCCAGTATGGATAGGATAGTAAAATTAGCGGAGGAGTTTTACAGACATCTGTACAGTAGTCAGCATATAAGAACTAGCGGTAACCCAGATGACACCCCACCAGTAATGATAGAAGAAGTCAGAAAAGCCTTGGAGAGCATGCGGAGAGGCAAAGCTGCTGGTGAGGATCACGTAACATCAGATCTGCTGAGACATAGAGGACAGATTGTGTTAGAAAAACTAGCAACCCTTTTTACGAGGCGTCTCCTGACGGGAAGAGTACCAGAATCTTGGAAGAATTCTAACATCATCCTAATACATAAGAAAGGAGATGATAAGGACTTGAAGAATTACAGACCGATCAGCTTGCTGTCCGTAGTATACAAGCTATTTACGAAGGTAATTGCTAATAGAATTAAGACATTAGAATTCAATCAACCAAAAGAGCAAGCAAGATTTTGAACAGGCTACTCAACAATCGACCAAATTAATACTATCAATCAGGTAATGGAGAAACGCTCAGAATATAGCCAACCACTATATATAGCCTTCATAGATTACGAAAAGGCGTTTGACTCAGTGGAAATATGAGCAGTCATGCAGACGCAGCAGAATCAGGGCGCCGACGGAGCATATATAAACATCCTAGAAAAA